ACTAATTTAGGGGCCAGGGAGATGGCTCAGTGGATTAAGCATTTCCCTGGCAAGCGTAAGGGCCTGAGTTCAATCCCTGGTTCTGCCAAAAAAAAACCAAAACAAAACTAATTTGAAGACAATAATATGCAGTATATCAACCGTTGTTGAATTCCTATTATTGTTTACTAAAATTCTGCATTGTTTCTAATGTTTTTTGTTTTTTACTATTTTTATTCTCTCTAAAAAGTAAAAAAATAAAAAGAAAAAAAAAAAGAAAAAAGAAAATAATACCTTACTCTTGGAGAAACATTTGTTTTCTTCATCCTTAAGAGTTTCCAGGGGCCAGGAAGATAGCTCAGTAGAAATAAGCGCTTGCCAGGCAAGCACAGGGGACTGAGTTCAAGCCCTGATTCCACCAAAAAAAAAAAAAAAACAAAAAACAAAACAAGTTCCACAGGGCTGGCCAAATAGCTCAGTGGATTAAAGCACCTGCAAGCAGGCATATCAGCTAGGGGTTTGATCCCCGGACCTGCCATGCCAGCCCCAATCCTGGGACACACTGAGATGGCAATTGAGACTGGGCATGGTGGCATACACCTGTAATCCCAGCTCTTGGGAGGCTATAAACAGGTGGATCACTACAAGTTCTGATCTAGTAGTGAGACCCTGAACACCCTGTAGACCCTTCCCTAGATACACACACACCCAAAAAAAGCTTCTACAGACATTCTTTCCTACGTTCCCTTCACAGGAAGCTCACAGCCTGATGCAGATGCGGAAGGCAGACAGACACAGGAGAAATGAACATCCCACCGCCTCACGTGTTCCTGTCAGTTTGAGAGAATCCACCTTTTCATCTGAAATCTTGGGCCAGGCAGTTAACCTTATAACATATCTGCCTGAGGGAACCCTGCAGTGAATCTGAAGCCAGTCTTTAGCTACAATTCTTCCTGGTACATTCATCACATCTTCACAGTGTCCACTGCGCCTTCCGTTCTGGATTCCACGCTATTCTTGCTCCGTGTCCACAAATTCCATTCCATGTAACTCTTATGTTCCATGCCTGCTACTGGTGTCAGCCAGATGATGTGACAACCAACTAGCAGTTTCTTACTGCCAGTATCAAGTACCCTTCCCACCAGGAGAAGGGTTTCCAGCACTTGCCCACACTGGTCAATACTAACACGCCGCACCCCTGTAAATGGCAGCCCCTGACCTATAGAGGGTGAGGCATGAAAATCGCTAAGTGGAATCACTGGGTTGGCAGGTTCTAACCAAGTAGCCCAAGCTGCTAACGCACAAATCAGCCTGCCCTCCAGGGGCTAGGCATTAGGCCCAAATGTGAGGCCTATGTGGCAATAGCAGAAATACAATCCTGAGAACCGCTTGACTTACTCTCCAACCCAGTGAATGCAACGTATCTCATTTTATATTGCTGAGACTTATACTGCTATATCAACCAACCCACATGGTGAACAACGGGGCTACAGAGTAAGTCTTCTGAATATACACCTCCAAAACAGCCATGGCCCAGGAAACTGGAAATTTGTATGCAACTTAATACCATATTTTCCCATAATATTATTGAGAAACAAATAGCAATGAGATAGTTTCAAATCAAATTGGTAGGACAGTTTCAATAATTAACACATTGCATACATTCTTCCTAGTGGATAATTGCTGTACAAGATGTGGACATGATATCCTATTTACAAACACTATTACAACAAATCCCTCTATTTATTAAGAGAATGTAACTATATATCTATCCTAAGCATTTTGAATATACAGATACAAAATGGACATTCCTCTGTATCCCCGTTTTTTGTTAAAAGACTCCAAGGTTCAGGCCAAAGGAGAGCAAACTGGATAAATATGGCTTTAAAATAATGTTTCTTTTCCACATCAGAGACAATTCCCCTGGATGCCAAAGGCCTGAGAGGGACTAAGGCAGAGCACAGAAATTCTCATGATGCAGGGCCTTTTACTACCATTTAATAGCCCTTGAAATACTCCTCTTCTGGAGTAAAAAAAACTAAACAGATACTGGACGTTAGTGCAAGACCTCAGGCACAAAAATCAAGCTGTTATTTCCTTACACCGCAGAGTACCTACTATTTGTACTTTGTTGACCCAGATACCAAAAAGCTTGTAAGCAGTTCTCAAATTTAGATTTAAAAGATGCTTTCTCCTGTATCTCTCCACATCCAGATTCTCAATATCTCTACCTTGAAAGACTTTTCTACGCAGCCCTCTCAGTTAACCTGGCCCATCCTCACCTGTTCGGATGGGTTCTCCAGAGAACTTGACTTTTCCTGTCCTGAGGTAAAAGTTCTTCAGTACACAGATGACCTTCTGATTTGTGCCCCACTGGGAAAAGATCACGACCAGGGAAGCCAAGCCCTCCCCACCTTCCTGGCACAGAGGGGCTATAGAGTATCCAGCAACAAGGCCCAACAGCTCTCATTACAGAATTCAGGGTTAATCATTCTGGAGGAAACTCAAGCCCTGGAAAACGAACACATTGAGCCAACAGTCTTGTTACTTCCTCCAAAGACCTAAAAACCGTTAAGAGACTTTCTGGAAACCCCAGGTTGTGCCAACTATGGATTCTCACACAATGGGGAAACAGCTTGACTCCTATACCAAATGTTCAAAGATGCCCCAAAACAAGGAGCTCATCTTTTACAGTGGAACCCTGAGGCCAAAGGGCCTCTAAGATATGAATCTGGCACTTTTCCAGGCCCCCCGCTCTGAGCTTTCCAACTGGCTATTTTATGTTAGGAAAAGGAGGTGACACCCAGCATGCTGACTCAAGTTAAAGGGCCTGTTACAACAACCTGTGCGATACCGGAGCAAAGAATCAAGCCAGGTGGCTGAGGGATAACTGTTTGCCTTAGAGCTATTGCTGCTGTCACCCTGTATCTGCAGCCCCAAATTTGTCACCAGACCAACCCTGGGCCCATCTAATCTCTATATTGTATTTTGGGGTTGCTGGTCTCCAAGGAAGCCTCTTGCTGTCCAACAGCCTGCAGGTAAAATACCAACAGGCCTGTGCCAGTAGAGAGGTGCACCACCCAGGTCAAGCCCTGCCTACCACTAACCCCTGCCTCCTTCCCAGGAGAATAATACAGCTGGTGGAGCTGCCCAGTCCCATCCACCCACCAGGTTTATTATCCAAATAAGATACAATGGTTTGCAAAACCAATCTCACAGGGACTTGGTTCCCCTTTGCTTGAAACGTACAATGCCTGGCAGTAGAAATGCTTATTCAAGAGATCAAATCATCCCTGGATCCATGTGTCCCACAGCTAAGTTCATCTGTTGTAACACACCAACGTGCCACTGGTTGTCTTGGTCAAAGCCAGTCCTGTTAAGATGCCACAGGATGGTGTAACTGCACTTGCCACCTACCACAGTCTTGATCTGAACAACCAAGGCTTCAAACAGTGGATACAGTGAGATCTCCAGTGTCAGAGCCCTACCTCACCAGGCTTCTGTACAGAGATGGAACTCTTCAACCTTTTTCCTGGTGGCAATGGATATATACTCAGACACAGTATTCTTAGATCCAAACTCCACTAAGTATGAGACCCAGTGCCCTACATTCCTTACCCTGGAAGGGAGAGGCATCTAATGTTCACATATATCCAAACTTATGGCTCCACCCTGAGACCTGTCTCCAGTTGTTAGGATGACACCCTCACGGGGCAGATTTGATGGGTAGGATAATCCTACAACTTGAAGGCAATGTGGTGGTCTATGAACCCCAACAGAATCACATTGTCGGGCTGGAGAGATGGCTCAGTGGTCTAAAGCACCTACTTAGAACAAGCTTGGCAAGGCATCAGGGACCGCGGTTCAATCCCCCAGCACCACATGCCAG